TTTCTGCAGCGTTATTCCCTTTGGTTCGTTACTAACGGGTCGGCGAATACGCGAGCGGTTCCCTCGCCTGCCGTGCCCCGGGGGTGGCCGGGCTGTGCGGGTGGTGCATGCCGCATGGGCGCTCCCCTGCCGTAGCGAAGGATGTGCCCCGGCGCGCGTGCAGTTTCCTGTTTCCCTTGCTCTCCGCTGTCAGCTTTCCTAACTCTTTTCCTGTTTTTTCTTCATTTTGCAGTCCAAATAAAAGACTCTCAAGCAAGAAGGTGGCAAGGTAAGCTCATGCTCCTGTTACCGCTTGGTGAGAGGGGTGCCCGCACTAGCTGCCGGGTCCGCGGAAGGAAGGCTGTCAAAATAAGGTTGCAGTGGGGTTGTACTTCGGGACGGGTTGTACAGCGCTGGGGAAATGCGGGTTTAATTCTGATACAGTTTGCAATAGCTGTTTTTCTAAACCGGGGGTTTCTCGCTCATGCACACAACTGGAGGCTGGTGCCAACCTGATTTCTTCCAGGACAAAAGTAGGGGTGCTTCCCCCCCGAATCCTCCCAGCGCCCTAGCAGGGGGCATGTGGAGCGGGGAAGGAGTCTCTAGACGGGCACGTCCCTCTGGGCTGCTTGACTGTGCTGTCCCCTCCCCAACGTCACCGGGGAGGGCCTCTCGAGTCTCTAGAAGACTGGGCCGGTCACTACACCCGCTCGGGGGGATCTCTTCAGCACCCCAAAAAAGCCAGTTGGCTTAGACGACTCTCTTGGCTCTGTTTAACTTTGCTCAGTGTGATCCTTGGCGCTTGGCTTTGCCAGCCTCCTCGGTGGGCGTTTTTATCCCTGCCGGCACAGGAGAAGCTGCAGAGTTTGCTCTGAGTCGCCGGGGCAGAGGGTCCATCCCCTCTCCATGTTCCCCCTTCCCTTCTCAGCTTCGCCACCCCTCCTGGTCCTGTGTCGTCGGGCTTTTAAGAACACCCTGAGCCTTACCTTAGCTGTCCTGCCCGCCTCTGCCCCGCTCGGGGGGCAGACCCCCCTCTGCAGTCCCTGGCTTTCTCTTTGCTCATTCCTGAGCAGGGCAGGGATGCTGCAGAGGAATAGGCAGCTCAGTTTGGGTGATGCTGGTACCCCTCTGCCCTGTTCCCCGCACCTCCTGCACGCCTCTCCCTCCCGGCTGTGCTCTCACACCTTTCCCTTCTCCGTTTTTCCTGTGGTCAGCAAGTCTCCCCTGGCACGATTTCTCCTCCTGGCGAGGAAGCAGGTCCTTGATATTACATTTCCTAATTCCGGTCATCTTACTTTCTCGATCTTTGTTAAAAACACTGGCAGGAAAGAAGGTTGAAGGGAGCAGCCTGTCCCCAGGTTTCCTGTTTTAGGTTTAGCGGTTTTTTTTGTCCTGAGTCTGGCAGAGCAAATTTGGGGAGGATTTGAGTTAAACTTTTGGGAACAGAAATGCCCTATCGAGGGGGGATTGAGCCCTCCTGGCCCTTTGAATCTGTAAGATGCTTTTTTGGAGGCTCGACTGGGCTTAGGGAAATATTGGTTAATTCAAGAGCAGCCAAGTTTAGTTTGTGATAATGATGACGGAGGTCACAGGGGTTTGCTGCAGGGTCGAGCCAGATCCTTAAGGTCAGCCCAAGAAAACCTTTCCTTGCAGATACTGGAATTACTGAGCAATACCAAAGCGTTTGCTTTTAGGACGCTGATGTGATTTTGGTAAAGGCTCTTTCTTCCCTGACTTTTGTTATCCAGGTTCTGCTTGTCCCAAGAAACCTCAGCAGCTTAGGCCCTGTTGTGCTTGGCACGATTTAAATGACAAACGTGCCCGAGACTTCAGGATCTAAATAGATACTTAGGGTGAGGATGCAAAATAAGGCTGGTACATGGCCGTAGTCTCTTTGGTAAATGCCAGTTATGCTTTGTGAATGTTTGCATGAGCATATTGTGTAGCAGGGTGAATTTGAGAGCCCCCATTACAAATCCCTCGGAAAACTGAGGTTCAAAGAGCCCTCTGTGGTTTTCCCGTCCACCTCCCGCTCGAAGCAGAGCTGGCTTCAAAGGCAGATCAGGCTGCTCGTGGTTTGGGTTGCAGCGGGAGAGCCAGGGTGGTTTTCTCCAGGGTTCGCAGGGCTGGAATACAACCCCCCCCTCCCCGTGGCAACAGCGGTTTCTCGTGCCGCGAGACGATGGAGCTGATCTGCAGCAGTAACGCCGGGATGAAGCGCGGGTCGCGGGGCGTCCTTTAGATCGCCGCAAAGCTGCGGCCACCGGTGTCGCAAGCCCTTTTGCTAATGATTAGCTCGCTCTCGGGTGTCGTGGCCGGCGCGGGGAGGTGGGCTGGGGTGCTTCACAACGGATTCCAGGGTTTTTCTCCCCTCCCTCCCCTTACACCCGCTGCCTCCCACTTCTTAGTATCCTTATCGGTGCCCAGGGCAGAGTACTCTGTCCTTTGCTGCATAATACGCGGCCTTGGTATGTTCCTAAAGAAAGTGAGAAGAGCGAGCTCTTATCTCTTCCTATTCCAAAGAGCAAGAACAGGCGATCACGGTATGAAGTCCCAGCAGCGAGCGTCCACGTCTGCGCTTCCCTCGCAGGCTGCGTTTGTTCAGCCGGTGAGCAGCCGCCCGCTCAGCCCCGTTACCCGGGCGCACCGAGGTGCCGAGCTTCATTGCCCTTTGGAGCTCGCGGTGGCAAGAAGGACCTGGCCCGTGCCGTCCCTCGGTGTAAATCCTGCAGCCCTAGAAGGAGCAGCGCTGTTAAATCCCCTTGGGAAAGGAGGTGGCAGCGGAGGAGGGGAGAGAGGGGACCGTATCCTGCAGGAGCAGTTGTCATCTGAAATTGCCACGTCCTACGATGTTCGCTCTAATGTTCGCCTTGCTGTGGGTTGGGGTGCTTTGTCTCTGTTATAGACAGTTGCATCAGACAAGCGCCCTGTCCGTGGGGATGATGGAGGGGTCTTACCGGGATACGCTGGACTGTACGGAAGAGGACATCACGGACAAGGTAAGAGCAGTGCTGCCTGCCCTGTCCTGGAGCACAGAGCGGCTTGCGACCCTCCGAGACCTCCAGGCAGGAGTTGGCCTGAAGCTTCAAGGGCTCCCAGCCAAATTGCAGAGGTCCTGTGTTGAGTCAGGAGGTGGCACTGGTGCCTTCTCCCGGGGACGGAGGTGTGCTTGCCCCACTTGCGCCGAGGGTGGCTTCCCCCCTGCTCCCCCGGGAGGGGGGGGTGGCTGCTCCCAGGCTGTGTTTTCACTTCTGCTTCACGTTAGGAGATGTTCTCAATTTCTGCTTTTCTGAGATGAGCAAGGCCGCCTGACGCCAAGCAAGGGCTTCCTCTCCGTGGCACGCTCTGCCGCTGCTGCGCGTGCCCTGAGGATGTAAAGCTGATCTTGTGCTGGTCCTGTTGGGTTTTACTGAGCTCTTAGGAGAAAGGGATTCTAGGAGAAGATGGGAGCAGCAGGGCAGGAGCACAAGGCAGCGTTTGTTTGAGCACCCCTCGCTAAAAATAGCTAAGGGAAAGTGGGGAGGGTAAAGATGGGTGACTTGTGGCTTGTGTAAATATTTGCTGCAGCCCTGAAACTCCTTAAAAATGGCTTTTTAATTCTGGAATCGCAAATAGCTGCACGGAGCAGCGTGCGAGAGAGAAATACAGACGTGTGTGGCTGCACTCTGCTATAATTATGATGCATAGAAGACCTTTAAAAAAAAAAAAAATTAAAAATCAAAATGTTTCCAAGTCTGAAAGCTGAATAAAACTCGTTTCTGAAGGCGTCTGGCTTGGGAAACCATGTGCATGATTCTGGGAACAGCCTTGTGCCTCTGCCTGTTTCTTTTTTTTAATACACTTGGGTGTCGCTTGCCCTTCTCCCCAGAGCGATGGTTCAGGTTTTGCAGGCCTGCTCCTAATTGCCTCTTTTTTTCATGATTGTTCTCGTATGGGTATAAATGGGATTTTTGGGGACCATGAAAATGCTGTCCTCCTGCGGTTCCCCACCTGGCCACGCTCCTGCTTGGGTGGGAAGTGGAGGGGTGCTCCCGGCCCCCTTTGCTCTTCAAAGCTGTGCACTACCTAAGTAGTAAGTAAGTAGTAAGTAAATGAAAGTAAATGAAAATGCAAATACAGCTGAAATAAGCCCCGTATCGGTACAGGGAGAAGATAATGCAGATCCTCTCCTCCCAGCCAGCATTTTTTCCTCCCCTGTGACTTTATTTACAAATAAGCTGCGAGCCCAGGGTCTTTCAGTCCTATTTCAGGCCGCTGGTGGTTACCCCCAGCCGCAGGGCTGCGCTTGGGCGCAGCAGAGCTCCGCTGACCCAGCTGGGGTCTTTCCCCCTAGACCT